ATCTGCAAGTAATGAAATACAAGCTGCAAGTAATGAAATTCAGCTAAAAGTGGATTCTTTAAAAATTATATTTAGACTATTTTTTGTATTGTTAACCTGTTCTATAAATTACTGACAATATAAAGGATAAAGCAGGAGCCTTGATGCATAGCTTGAAATCGTGCCTAGAAAGTAAATAGCTCCCTGTTCTGGGACTTGCCTTAAAATTGTCCTGTTCTTGCTTTTGCTTTGCCAGTAGCACTGATGATCTGTCCCACCTCAAGCAGTTCAGCGTGCTGAAGAATCTTGCGTTATAAAGTTTACATACTACAGAAGCTGTACTTTCTTTTTTTCAGTGACCTGCTTCTCCATTTCTTTGTAACCGTTTGTGGCATCTTGATTCCAGCTTCATCAGGTTTTATACCATCGGGTGGGTGAAATTATTAAGGGATCCATTTATGATCTATGGCCCTGCGAACAAAACTGTGCAATACTATGTAATCTGTTCCCTTTGCTTGGGGGAGGTGGTGTGTAACACTGGACAATTGCTGGGTAGATGCATCCCAGTGAGATTGCAGGCAAATGAACAAAACTACGACTCGTGTAACTGAGGGGAAAGCTGGGAGTTCCACCAGAATCTTTGCGTATTCGGTTGCACATCTTAAAGGTTGGGAAAAAAATGTGTCTGGCTTTGTCATGAGGCTCTCAATGTGTATATTGTTTAATAAAATATCCTGATGAAAATCAGAAAATATCACTTCAAGCGGTTGAACCCTGTGACTTAGCAAGTGTGTGCGTGTGTGAAATCAGGTTTACTTGGCTTTTCAAACCCTTGTTACGTTGTAATTTTTTTAATGTAAAAAAAAATAAAGTAATGAATTGAACTCTTAGTTGATTAACTTCTGCTCTGTATGTCACTTTCTTTTTGCACGTATATGTGCATATTCATAGATTACATTCATAGATTACAACAACTTCAGGGTAATGGTCTTGTAATTTCTGTGTATGTGGCAAGGACAGAGATACTGCTCCAAAGTAAAGATGCTGCTCTGCTTGCTGAGGGGCTTAATCTGTGCTAACTGCTGGGCTGGTCTTAGCCATTTCCTTTTCTGCATCCTCTGGTCTAACTGCTTATCTCCTTAGCGCTTCCTTGGCTAAGACAGTGGCAAAACCCTTCCTAGGCTTCCTATTTGAAAACTCTAGCGGGGTAGATGGGGCTTCATGCCTTCAAGGCTGGTGTTGGACTCCCTGGTTTCTCTGTGCCAGTGGTGACTTCTTCCCCTAGTTCCGTAGCCTCAGCTCCGAAGGGCGCCG